GCGAAACCGCAGAAACGTTAGCCGATATCAACAATGTGTTGTTGAATCAAATGAAATTGTACTACACTTGTGCCATGGTTCATCGAGAGTCAAATATGACGGTTCCTTTTTAAATCCTTTTTTTGAATCTCTAATCTCTCTATCTTTATGCCGTGTGAGATTTTACGTAAGGCTTGTTGAAATTTAAAAGAAGTGACGTGACATGAATCAGATATCTAAATATATTTGCAGGTGAACGGATCCACGGAAGAACAGCAACACAGGAACTCTTATAGGCCTGTTCTTCTGATTGAACACCAATTAAGCAGTAATATGGCTGATTTGCGCAAATAAATCTGTATGGAACTGGTTGAGAGCGGCATTTTGCCCGGAAGGACGAAAGCGATCTTTTGTCATTCCAGTACATTACGGTGCACACAAACAGGAGTTTCCACCAAAATTGGTTTTCTCTTTTTCAACCCGGAACTGCTTATAATTGAAAATTTGCTGCGTTGTGCTGCTCGATCCATGACAGAAGCTTTCAATCATGGTTAGATATTCAGTTGATTAGGCATTGCAGATTCGGTAGCACCCAGAAGAAAAGTCAGAAGGAAAAGAACCATGTCTCTGCCGGTATGACAGACTTTTGTTGCTGAAATTTAATCATTCTCTTAAAAAAGTAGCCGTTACTGAATACACCAGTAAACAGAGTTCAAACAAATGTAAGACAATGTACGAGGATGAGATCTGAGCATCCTTCACGGAACACAGCAGTATCACAATCGGCAATTACATAATGGAAATCAAACACTGCAACCCGTATTCAAATTTGACCGTATCATTTCCGGTAACATTCGAGAGCACTGATAAAATATTCTACTACAAAGATTGCATGCTAATTTTTTCCAGCACTATCATAAAAAATGAAGGAAATGAGAATCAACACGGTAAAAAAAATTCAGAAATGCACTCAATTTTTGAAGCTACGTAAGCCAAAAAGCTACATTCTTGACCAGGATCAAGCGTGCGTCGTAGAGTTTTCGGCGATAGGGTCGTATTAAGTTCAGTGAGAGGGAACTGGTCGCAGGTGCCGTGATCAGCATTGATCAGAGCACGGTAGTCTTTCGAGGGTGGATAAGAACTGTGACTTGCGACGGACATCGCTGAAAGTAGAATGCACGGCGCGCCCCTGAGCAAGTTCATCCAATGCCATGCCTTTCAAATACCGTTCCTAAGACAAGAATATTCAAAATGGTTCCGATGCACACCGATTCCTTAAGGACTCACCTGCTGACAACCGCGATTGCATGGGTGCACCTCTTCATTTATTACGAAACAAACATGGAAACAGAATTCGTAGCTGTCTGTGATATGCTGCACGATGATGAGGTGAACGAACATAACTGACGAAGTAGCACTGGCAGTACGTGGGAAGAGCGATAATTACCTGAGCATGAACAGTACTATGAGCACTATCAACAAGTGATCTTAAAGGAATCTTCCCCGGAAAAATCATGATTCCATTATAACTCACCCACAAATCACTGGCTTGAGACCCATCACTTACGATAAGAACGAAAAAAAAAAATGCATTTGTTTTGGAAAATTCGAAAAACTGGAAGGACTGCTACGCGTTCAAATTTCCGCCGGACATCTGTCACAAATGCTGGCGACGGGAATGCTTCCACTTGGTTCACGGAGTGCTGTCACTAGAAACTCTTTTGACCTTTTGACTTATTCCAAACACTTCTACTGCATCCTATTTTATCGATCGTTTGTCTTATTCTCCAAATATCGAACGTTATAATCCGATTCTTCCAATGCTGCCTGATACGTGGTCGTCCCAAGGC